TATTTGGGAATGATTAGATTTTTATACTGTAAATCAATTCTCATTTTCAACCACACATTCTTCAATAAAATAATATTTTTCATCACATCAATAATTTTTTCTTCTTTTTCAACCATACATTTCCTATCATATTACTATTCAAAAATCAATTCTTCCCCCAAAAATCCATACCAAACACACTCTAAAAATTCTTATTTTTAGCTAAACCAAACAAGGCATAATATCGTAGGAGTCTAGTGAATCTTCCTCAATCGAATCCCTAAAGACACATCAGCATGCAGTACTTTTAGGAGGATACTTTAGTATCTCAAAAGCATAAAATATACTGTTCCTGGCGTTATCATTTGCATGATCTCATGGAGAAACCAGAAGTGAACATGGGTAGACTTATTATAGGGAAAGTTGAGTTTGTGGCTTGTTCATTTCATGGATGGTCTAAACTCTAGTTTCCATTTGTTAACAGTGAGGTAATGTCCCATAATTAATTATCGAAGGGCCACCAGATTATCATTCTTCCATTAGACCCTCAACAAATAGAACCCAATTCAAGGTCTAGCATTTCGAAGCCGTGTTCCAATTTTCACAAAACTCTTAGACCTTGGTCCAGTTAGGGATGATTAACTGGATGACAAAAAAACTCGACAAATCTGATATCCACAGGGCTCCACCTCGAACGGGGCAGAAATTACCTGTTTAATTGGGTATTCGGGTCGGAGACGGGTAACGGGTGTCCCGCCCCATTTAATTTTATTTTTTTTTAGAATCCAATACTTTAAAAGAAAAATTTCACAAAATTTCATTAGTTCTGATATAAAATGGCAACTAAAATTATTTGTCTCAATCTAATCAATAGGAGCAATAAAATAAATTATCAAAAACTTTTAAAAAAATCAAACGGGGTAGTAAATGGGGCAACAGCGCCCCTCCCCGCCCTACCAGTTGCCATCCCTAGGTCCAGTCTTTTATCTCTCCCGGGTTCTCCTAGTACTTTCATGATAAAAGCAGTATACGGTATGTCATAATTTTTAATTTCTCTAGTTGAACTCGAGGTTTATGCAATTTCTAAATTTTATTCATATTCAACGAAGAGGGCAACATAAAATAGAATCCACATGAAATTAGGTTCGTAAGATTATATAAAAGATGAAGATATAGCACATGATAAAAATGATGTAAATCAACTACAACCTCAGCCTCAGGCTACTAGTTACTGTTTTCAGATGTTCTAGAGGCATTTTTTATTTTTTTCAAGACATTTGATGAAAA